TCCTTTGCTGTTATCTGAAAAAAAGTTTAGTCAGCTTTCTCCGTATATGTTTGAATTGAAGCTAAGTCAGCTACATGGCTTTAGACAAAAAATTTTAAAACAATATGTAAAATGTCAAATTCCTTTATGTTCTATGACTTTTTAACAAGGGTTTATAAAAACTTGAGTTGACCATGGAACAATTTATTTGTCCTAATTTCTCAAGGAAATTATAATCATTATTTTTTTGATTAAAAAAATGAATTCAAACCCGATTCTTTTTTTTTTTAATAATTCAGAAGATAAATGTATATTTACTATTCATGAACTAAATACTTCGATACTTCATGAGAATTATTTATGAGAATATTGATATACTCTGAATGTATGCTTTAACTATTTACAAGATTAAATACACATAAAATTATTACTAGTTATTATTTTTAAACCAATTAGATAATCACTTTTTTGCGTCAACAATGTAAGATTCCTCTTCTAGTGGACTGGTCAACGGTTTGATACTTCTCATTTGTAATGTCAGGGCCCAAAAGGAAAATTTGGGCCATGGTACACGAAGGACCGATGCTGGGTTTAATTGGACTTTAGATTTACTTTAATAAATATAATATATTGTGCATGAAATTTTGACAGTACTTGCATAAAAAGAGGTATGCAAGAGAGGGTGTCAAGCTTGAAATCCTGACCTCTAACTTTCTTTTTACTGTTTAATTAAAAAAGAGAATATAGAGTAATTTTAGAAAACGAAAGATAAGATTTATGAGATAAGAGAAGATGTCTTTTATTGTGCAACTCATTATCATATCTTAAAAGAAATGACAATGGAAATGCCAGTAAAATTCTTCACAAGACTTTCTTCCAAAATAGTGTCAAGGATTTGGGCTTGAATCTTAATATGAGCAAGGACATTTAAACAGTGGGGGGGCTATTTTATGTACTTGATCCTATTGGACAAAGAAAGTAAGTAGCTGTGTAAGGTCTTCGAAAATTATTAAATGATTCTGTTCAAACTAGGAAAAGGAAACGACAGACCAATGACTAGAATGCAAAAGGTCGGCTTGATTCAGTAAACCTGCCCAAGTTATACGAAAACGTTGTTGCAATGGTATCAAAAGTGATATCCGAATTATTGAGGCAGAAAAAGAAGAAATTTCGAAACACGGTTTCGCATTTTGTTTCTTTGATTTTCAAGCCATTATATATGAAAAGGAACAGGAGCTGATATTCAATATATAAAGAAGGAAAAAATCTATGCATATAAAACAAGGTTTGATCTTATTAATTGTGAAAAATTCATATGTGGGAGCATTATTTGGTCGAACCCCATGCACCATTGTCCTTGTAAATTTAAATTTTTTCGCCATATCCGATTTTATTGACTAGATTTCATGTTTTTTTATGTAAAATGTTGGATTACATAATAGAAATCCGAAACATATTTATAGAAAGAAAAATTGAAGAATTAAAATTAAGAATAGAAAACCCAAAGCACAATCCAAAATCTAGAAGACAAAAAGAGAAATAAAAAACGCGGAATCTGACGTAGAAAAGGAAGAAAAATGGATTAATTAGTCATACGATAGAATCTTGTGATGATTACTTCATTTTTTTTTCTTAAAATTTGCGTGCAAATTGCACATGGGTGGCTTTGTGGGGTTTCCATGTCAGAGCAACATGTTCTAAATACGACAACTTTTTCATTGATTTTAAGTGTTCATGACAGTTTATGTTCTGGCTTCTCCTTGCTCGTATTGTGTCTAGGTAAACTCGATAAGTCTCAAGTCTTTCACCTTGTCTTTTCCTTGGGATTTTATCGGTCTCTAAGTTTTAAAGAATGGATGACTTTAAAAATCAAAGTCTACTCCTTCAGTCTCCGCCTTTCTACTTCTAGATGAAGACCGACTGGGGGTCTTTCGGCCTTTAGCTTCTAGGCTGGCTGACCTTTGACCAGTAATATAGCTACCTATTATCATTGCTTGCGAGTATCCATTGATTTAAAGAGAATTTTTTTTCATTTTTCTTTTCCTATATATATATATATTTGTTCATGTCTTTTATTTTTGAGTAAAATGTTTGTTTCTTAATATTTAATCATAATTTTACATAAATATATTAATTTTCAAATTAAATAATTTGTTTTAAATATATAAATGATGGTGCTTCCTGTTGGCCACCCTCTGCACCAAAGCGAGAGGGAAGGAAGATCTGGCGCTTCGACTGAGGGAAGAGGTAGAAGATAGATTTTTTTAAATACAAAAAAAATTAAAAATAAAAATTTATAATTTATATGATATGATAAATTTTAAGATTAATAAAAATAAAATTATTTTTTTAATATTATTAAATTATTAAATTAATAAAAATATTAACAATTAATTAACAATTAAGTTTATATATTCGATGAAATATATTTTTTAAAAACAAATTATTTATTTTAAAAATTAATAAATTTATGTAAAATTATAATTAAAATTAATTAAAGGATGAAGGTATTTATCTTTTATTTTTGCATAATTGTATCTAGATTTTTGATGTCATTCTCTCGTGGGCATGAAAGAAGAGAGAGAAGCTTTGGTAATGGGAGGGCGACTGGCCCACGGGGATAATGATTTTTGGTTGACAACAAAAGACTGCCGTCAAAGAACGATGAATGGCATCAATTATTTCATTTCACAATCATATTTAATAAATAATAGTAACAAGACTATGCAGATTTAGTACTCCTACTATTTGTTAAAATTTTTTTTCTACTTACTTGCTGATTTAAATTCCTAAGTTTGATTGATTTTACTTGTAATGATTACTTATGTGTACCCTTATAAAATCGATAGTAAGAATTAGATGTACAGGTACCATTTAGATTAGGTCATTATCTATTAGATCGTCGTTATGGTATTACTTACTAAAATATACTGTTCAATCCGTCTCATATATATTGTCCTATTTTGATTTTTGTCAATTTTTTGATTTAATTTAATTTTTAAATGATTATTTATTAAAATTTTAAAAAATGTTTATCAAAAATTTTGAACAAATTAATTTTCAAATGTGAATTTTTTAAAATTTAAGTTTTTTTTATATACATTTCGAAATTAATTTGTTTTTGGGTCAAAATTGAAAAAACAAATCAAAATAGGATAATATATATTGAACGGAGGGAATAGATTAAATTATATTTTTACTGGCATTTGTGGTAAATCTCATGACAAAAGAATAAAGTATATTTGGACCGCTTGCAACTGGCTACAAGGGTAATTTATTTTTTGATACTAAACAATGGGTTAATTTTTTAATTAATTAATTCTGAAAAATAAACGCCAATAACTTTGTTAAACAAAAATGGCTTTGCTCCATGAAGCAGAAGCCAGCGAGAATTAATTTTAATTTTACATTTAAAATGATCGATAGTTAACGAAAGGATTAGTATTATTTCATAATTTATGATGAATTTTTAAAACTCTATAATTAAAACACCTTCATTTGGTAATTTTTTTAATTTAATTAATTTCTTAATTATAACTTCAGGCTTTCCTTGAAGTAAATAGAGTTGATACACCTCCACGTAAAATGCAAACTGAAACGTTTCATATAGAACTCAATGCCTTCAGATTCCAATTTTACGAAAACTAAACTAAACAATCAGATATAAATATATAAGTTGATTAATTATAGGATAATTACAAAGTATAGTACATAGGTGAACAAGAGAGGCATCGATTAAAAAGGTATATAGGTGGCTTTAAATCTTGTTCGGTAGATAGTCTTGGCCAGAGTTGAAACTCCGGAACCCTATTCTGAGTTAAACTTGGATTGTCAAAACTAAAATGAACCAATTAATATTGGTGGAGTAATGCAAAATTACCTAGAAAAAGTTACGTCTCTCGAGAGCTGGAAGCTGAGAAGGAATGGGCAACAATCTGAGGACCATACTTCGCTGAACTTGATAAATCAGACATTGAACTTTCGGAATCCCCAAGCTGATAGTAAAACTTACCAAATTTAGAGTATTTTCAATGCTGATATTTTCCAACCCCGTGCCAACATCTAGGTACTTAAGATTTGGTCCATGAATTTTAAGATACCTCAACAGGGCCAGTCTCTCAAGAGAAGGGCAGTTCAGAATGAAATTTTCGCGTTTATCTTCCTTAATATGGTCAGCCATGAGATAGGGGCAGGCATTGGCAAGATGCTGAGAGCTTTCGGAGCTGTTGTTTGTAGGCTTGGAATCAAGTTCGACGTACTTGAGATTTTTGGCACATCAATTTTAAGAAGATGTCCCAATAAGTTCAAATTCGTAACAGAGGTGGTCTCTTAAGAGCAGCAGGACTCTCGAGGATAAATGTTTGGAGTTTGTTTACATCAATCTCAAGTCTCAACATCCTTGTGGTGGAGGCTGCAGCCAAGATTCCAAGTACTTTCTGCATAGATATTTGCATAAATGGAAGTAAGTTCCATGCTGAATTTCGAGATGCTTCAACTTGATAATTCTGGACAAGGTCAATGTCTCAAGAGTAGCTAGGGCACCGGAAAATTAACTCTTCGAGCTCCTTAATTACAAATTTCAACAACAATGAGGTCGATGTTGAAGTTCAAATTACTTCGGGGACTCTTGGAGCCAAAACCAGAAACCATTTGAATACTGATAGCTACTGTTTGTTATTGCTTGCGGCAGCGCTGAAAAATGATGTTAGAAGGCCCATTTTGTAATCATGCTTTCTTGTTTCATTTAAACCCTAGTTTATGTATTTATAGGGTTACAAGTTGTACTAAAGTATTTAGTTGTTCACCTTCCACTGGACATTACCCAAGAGTCCTTAACCTTTGTTTTGGGTATAAAATCCTTCTGTCTCACAATTGAAAATTTGACAAGCTAAGGATTGGTTCGCAATCATTGTTTTAGAGGATATTCTCCCACATGCATCTTCAACATATACACACTTAAAGAGAGCTTCAAAGAAAATGGGCAAAGTTCAGAAGAGACAAGATCTCTCCAGGTCTAGTTACTAAAAATTTTTAGTAAATGGAGTATTTTCAAGACTGAATCCGCTTTTTGAAGAGGAACTAAACTTGAGGTATTTAAGGTTTGGTGCATGAATTTTAAGATGCCCCAACTTAGGAATGCTTAGCAGGGTCAATCTCTCAAGAGCAGGGCAGTCACAGATAAACCTTTCTAGATCATTTCGAGATATTTGAACATGATGGAGGTTGAGGCAGGCAAGAAACTTGAATCCTTGGAACATTTCAGGAAGCTTGATTTCACAATTGAAGAGCTGCAAGTGATTCAATTGTTGACAGGCAAACAGTGAACAAGGCAACTTGAGAGTGCACTGACTCTATTGCATCTCCAGAGCCAGCTCCCTGACATCTTTCCTTGATAGAACTTCAATCCAATCAAATATGTTCGATCCGAATGGATATAACATCGGCTTCTGAAACTCAACTTGTCAATGCTCCCATCGTGGTTAAGTAGGTACTGATTGATAGTTGAGCTAATCTGATACCATATGCCTTTTCTACCATCCCAGTCAATTGTTAACTGTGAAACTGAACAACAATTATATCTCCACTGTTTCGATAAGATGCTTGTCTTAATTGCATCCTTTGTCGGTAATCTCTCAAGGATGATGTCTAAAATCTCTGCTGGAAGATAGCTGAGTCTGTCCACGCTTGTTTCTTGTAAATATTGAATATTTTGAGGCTGCTTCTCCTTCACTCGGATGTAATCCATAAAGCAAGAAAACCAATTCATCCTACATTAAATTCTCTAATAAAATTAAATAAATATTCTCATTCTCTCACCCATGAGCATGACTGTAACCAAACACCAGTTTCTTTACTGCCTGGTTACCTGCAGTGGCCAAAATATTAAAAAAAAAAGGAAAAATAATGGTATTTGAGAACTGCTGAAAGAAGTAAACCTAATATTCCTTTCCATCAAACAATATTATTATTAAGACCTACGAATATCAAACCTTCTTTCATCTTATTATTTAGGAATAATAAATCTCTCCCGAGTTAAATCAGAAATTGCTTCTCTTCTCTCGACACTAATCCAAGATAAAGGTATAACATGAACCTAATACGAAAACTGAAATCAACAAAAGAAAAAAGTTATAATTAATTTAATTAGCAGAGTGATGGCCTATACAGAAATCAAAAGGCAGTAGTAGTAATTGATAGAGGGTTTCATGGAAGTCGACGTGCTCTTGGAATTGGCTATCTAGGCTTCTTTTTCCTTGTGTACACAAAATTGCCCTTGGTAAACCCAACATAAATATATTATTGAATTTCTGAGATTAGGCAACATATGCACGATATTTGATAAAAGCCATGCATTCAAAGTGAAAGTCTATTCCTTCTTTTAGAAGTGAGATTTAAAAATATTAGGAGTCTAAAAGCTTGAGGACTTCTTACATTAGATTTTAATTGATTTTCAGTAATTAACTGAGACTGTGCCCTGTTATGAGAGATCTGTTTCGAGGCAAGAAAGAGACCCAAAGACAAAGATCTTGAGCTTGTTATGTTTTAAATGTTTTTGCCTGTTTCTTCCAAAGTAAAAGAAAAAACAACTAATTAATTTTCTCTTTCAATCCACAATGATTAGTTTTCCCTCCGAATCAGTGGTTTACCAGCTTTTCAAACGGGATAACTAGTTATCGACTTACCCTTTAGGCCATATGGCTGCCTGGTCTAACTGAGTCATGTTCATTGAAGTTTAGTTGAGCTTGAACTGAGTTTCCGGTTTGGAATTCTGCAATCAAGTTCATGCTTTATTATACACATAGGAAAGAAAGGGGCTTCATCCCTTGGGAAGCTTCTTACCCACTATTTACCTTTCTGCTTGGATTATGCCCATTCAGAAGTTAATAGCAGCAGCGGATTGATCCCACCCACCATAAAAGGTTTGTGGAAGAAGTCCTGTATTCCGAACCCAGATATCCTAAACATTATAGCCCCCATCTTGAATAAGACATTCACTCAATGCTTCCAACATAATCTTCATCCCTTATTAAGGAAAAAATATCATTTACACTGCAATGCCTTTCATGTTCTTCTAGTTTACTACAAAACAAGAAACACTATAGTAAAGAATGCTGAGATACAGGTCAACACTTGGCAGTTACAAGGTGCGCTAAAAGTCGCACCTGTTACATGTTGAACCCTTCTCACTTTGCAGTAACAACCATTGAGGAACCCTTTTACCTGCATGTCATAGCTGGCCTACAATGTTAAGCTCGTAATCTTCAACTTTTCAGAAGCTCTCTCAACATGCAGCAACAATGATTCAGGAACTCTCTCACTTCCATATTTTACTATAGTCAATGCCTCAAGGACAGGAGAATGAGCAAGTATGAGCTTTAAAAATTCCAATTCAGGTCTGGTGCCACAGAGGCCTCTGATCCTCACCACTTTAAGTTGGCTGAAGAAGAAATTATACAGGCACTGATCTTTCAGAAAATCAACAACAGGTCTGATGACCTCATTTGAATGGCCAACCTAAAAGGGCAACAACACATTAAGTCAATAAGTGCAAATAATTTATCAAAAAAGAAAGAACAATGTAGTAAATTGAACTAGGGTATAATATACTCATATCAAATACTAGAATATATTGGGAAATGACTAACCGATATAATGAGTTCCTCTAAATTTGGGGAGCTTCTAAGTATAGAAAAGAAAGCCGCAACATCCTTAAAACTATTAAATCTTACTTCTTTAAGGTCTAGAACCAAAAGATTAAGGAGTGGTCTTGGGAATCTCACTGGTAAACTGCCATTAGCAAGAAACTGGAAACAAATGCAAAATTTCTATTACCTCAGTAACAGAAATATACCGGTAAGCTGTAAAAGGATGAAACAGAAACGAAATATGTTACCTTAATAAAATAAGAGGACAAAGTGAGCTTCTTGATACCATATAGACAGCCCAAAACTCTGATTAGGTTAGAAGGATCCCTTTCCTCTGACCGAGGCATAGATCTTCCATCCACAGGGATCATGCGAATATCAACACTAGCCAAAAGTGGACTGTTTTGAAGAAAGATATCTTCAAATTCAGAATCTATTTTCAAGTGCTTCAAGTTCTGATTGTGGATTCTGAGAATTGCTAAATGATCAAGGTTCAATAGGGTCAGTCTCTCAAGAACAGGGCAGCTACTAATCAAATATTCTAGGGTCTCGCTAATAATGGAAACCTGAGCGAGCTGAAGACTTTTGAGACAATTAAAACCTCTGAATGTGGGTGGGAGCTTCAAAATGCAGCCATGAAGCTCTAAGCAGATTAGTCGAGGACAAGAAAAAAGGCATGAAGGCAATTTAAAACGCCTAATAAAACTGAAGTCCTGAAGAATTAATTCCTTGATACCTTTCACCGTCAAATAAATTATCCACTCATTTAAATCAGAATGGTCTGGATAGCAATAAGCAGCAAGCTTAAACTTCTCTATTGGGCCATTGTGATTTGATTGAACCAAGTGAAAGATTCTCCTAATCTCTCCCCACCTGGCTTTGTCTGGCAAAGAATAGGGGAAGCATTTATCATCGATAACAAACTGTGAGAGGCTAGTCCACTTATATCTCCACTTTCTTGATAAGAGACTAGTCCTAGCCACATCTCTTAGTGGCAGGTGCACGAGGATGCTGTTCAATACATCCCATGGTAGATTGCTAATCCTATCTGACTTCACTGGCTTTTCCATTTCATTCCCTTTAAATTTCTGAAGCTAACTAATCTGCTTGCTTAATAATTCTTCAACTGAAATAAATTCGTTCAAAGTATTAACTATAAATTCAATGTGGAGATAAAATGAAAACAAAGCTTTCAATTGACATGTCTCTAAGGCAACACCGAATAATAGATAAACAGATATGCTTTTCAAAAAAAAAAAGAAGATAAACATATACATCATGAGATGGACAAACAAGCTCCAAACAATAACAAAACTAAAATGCACGCGTGTAGATTCATTATCACATATCACGAAGAATTTCTTCAGAACTTAAAGCATGAACTACATCCTCTTTGCCCATGAGTTGGCCAAGGATAAAAAACACACTCTTACAAAAACTTCCTCCCAGAGGAACATAACATACCCTTGAAACCTTAAATAATTACTTCTTAAGAATCAACAAGATGCCCAAGCTTAAATCCCAAATCATCAAAATTATCCAATACATGCTAACTTCCCAATGAAACAGAGCATGTTATAACAATCTAGTCCAACTTACAGAACACATTATATGACTTGTTTACAACTAATTAACAAAACGTGCAGAACAATTAGACTCCCCTAAAACTGGATGAAAATAATCACCTTATATGTCATAATAAATCCTGACTGAGATTTCTGATTGGAGTTCACCTAGGAGAGATTATCCCTACCAAGAATCAACATACTTGACCAATCTTTCTTATTCATTTCAACTAAAACTGTTTGTTATAAATTCCACCTTCTCTAATAAAGTATGTCTTCTTATACACAAACTCATTAATATATGTACATTTCATCAACGACAACAAACCAAAAAAGAATGACAATAAATGATGACACACTAGCCAGATACAACCCTAAAAGTCCACCAGGTCAAATGGAGAACCATCTAAGGACTCACCAATGCCTTTATGTTCCTCAATTCTAATCCTACAAAATTTCAAATGATGCAGTATTAGTATTTTTTTTTCCTTTCATTATCTGAGCACCAAAATCCTTAAAAAATTAATGCCCATAGCTTTGCTTGTCATCATGGTTTTACAAATTGCAGCCAGATGTAGATATCCTTAGTCATGGTTCTCTAGCTCCAACTGAGCTCATTTAGGCCATCAAACTTAACAATATGCTAACTTACCATCTACCAATCCATTCTTCCTAGCCAAAATCTTACAAGAAAATGTCATGCCTCAACCTTGTGAGAAAAATACTCTGATTCATACTGTCATGATATGATCCAAGAGGCGGGCACACACAAGCACACACACAAACACATATAAATATTCACAACCAATCAACTATATATCCCAACCATCTCTCTATAGCACAAGTTGCTTCCAGACATAATCACCCCTACTTCCAAGTTAATTAGCACGGTTGTAACATTATCGAAGAGCGTTTTGCACAATCCATATATCTTCTACATTTCTATCACAATTTCAAAAAAAGAAAAAAAGAAACACAAAAACAAAGATCAAGTAAGATTACTTCTTTTACGGGTATCTACACAAAAATAACCTTGACTTCATCTTTAAAGAGCATCATCATTTTTTTTTTTAAAAAAAAACGTTGAATAATGAATCAAAATCTTCCTTTAAACAAAAATTTCATGCACTTTTTTACCACTCCACAGCTAAATTCGTTAAATTTTGCACTCTCAGGGAAAACCAAATATTTTCTAATTACATTTAATGAAAGAAAAGAAAAAAAAAATTTTAACAAAATTCTCTACACCAATTTTTTTCCCATACACTTTCTCAGCAACCAAACAGAGATAAAACCTCATATGGAATATAAACACAATATAATTGATGAAGAGAAAAAACAATCTCACCCGAAAATAGAGGAAAAAAAAGAGACCCATTAACGGAGATAGATATAAATTGTTAAAGAAAGCGGTAGAAGTTTGAGAACAGTTACCAGAGTATCAGAGATCAACCACCGGACCCGTCTTGGGAGTAAATACTGAAAAACAGTTCAGTTCTTACTTTTATAGTGCACTTTTTTGTATGGAAAACTTGGAAAGCTTCTTCCTTCCAGAAAAGGAAAGCCCATGACCCAGAGTCCCCGAGCCGTAAAGTTAGTTAAGTCCTTGCCCGGTGCCCGAAAAGAAAGAATAGTTAGTTTCGTGATATGAATTGTTCCTTGTTCCTTCTTTTCGTCTATTGGGCTGCAAACATCGAAACTTCAAGCTTTCATGTCATTGCAATTGTTGGAGCCCAATAACAAAAATAAAATACCACTATTCGGAATCAAATTATGCAATTATCACCCATAAATGGCATTGATCCAACTGACAATAATATATACAAATATGACACTTACTAAGGTAACCAAAAATCAAGATGCAATATACTGTTGCTCACTGGTTTTTTTTTATAAAATATCTTTATTTTTTAAGTTTTGATCAAAATTATACTAATATTCGTTAGTTTTTAAAATGAACATTTTGCTTCAATTTTTTTTTTCATTGGGCACTTAAGTCCATTTGTTAGTCAATTGTTAGTATTTTCATCAATTTGATGACATGACAAGGATAAAAAAATAATTTTACTATTGATTAATTTTTATAATTTTATTAATTTAAAAAAATATCTCCCCGATGAGAAACACCAAAGCTCTTTTGGGAAACCCCGATCGAGTTCTTTAAAGGAGCATCGTGCTCCCCCGAGGAGCCCATTGAGACTCTCAAGAGAACACCAGATCTAGTAAAACTTAAAGAGTGAGAGTATTTTACATTTTTTTAAATATTTGTTTTGTTTTTGTTTACAAATTTTAATTTGAATTTATATAAGAAATTTAAAGTTAATTTTAAAGAAAAAGAAACAAAACAAATAAGGTGGTCTGGCCTTTCCATTCATATTCCTACTTGCTATGGAAACACAATCAAAGATTTGTAAGTATTTCCATATCTACACACATCTTGGTGTATTGTATGGTTTGACTAAAACGAACTAATTACTATCTATTTTCATATTCTAAATCTCATTATTTTATCAAACTCAATTCTAATAATTCAAAATTTTATTTTTATATTATTTGCATAATTATTTTATTTTTATATTCATTTTGAAAAATTATGAGATAAAAATCATGATTATTTCTTTTTATTTTTTTATTTTTATTTGTTCGTATGGTCATCCATTAATAGTCATGTCAATAGTTTTTGGCCTCGTTAACAAGTGTTATGTCAACATAAATTGTTACTAGTCCAACCAATAGCATGTTAGTATGATAAATGTCACATCATAATTTGTGAGTCATGAAATTCAATCGTTTGACTTAAGAGGCGTTGTCATTAATGTTTTTTGTTTAGGTGTGGTAGACCACTAAGATAAATATGTTTTTTTGCTAATGAGGTCTTAGATTTGATTTAGGTTCATTAAAAAGAATAAATTTAATATATGAAATAGATTTAGATCTAGAAGTTCATTTATGTGTGAGGAAACTCTCATTTAGTTGTTACCTAATTAGTTTTCTGTCATCTTTTAACCTTACTAAATATATTTAGTTCAATATTCAATTTTATTTCCTCGACCTGTTTTCTACTTTATTATTTTTATTTTGTTAATTTATTTTACTTTATTTTTCTTTGAAACAAATAAAAATTCTTTGATAATCAAAATTTTCCAAAGCCTCCAACTTTTATAGCATAACTTTGAAAGATTTTCTCACCTATAAATTCCAAGAAGTCATCACTTTTGACATCATTGAGATTCTATCATTGAAAAATTTTTATTTATTTGTGTCTTATATTTTTATCCATTTGTTTAATTATCTCTACTATTAATATTTATGTAAATCTTTTGTATGAAAATTTTCCAAAATCTCTAATCTTTTAGTATAATTTTGAAAAATTTCCTCACTTAGAAATTCCCAACGAGCCATCTCTCTTGGCATGATGATTTGCACAAATTAAATAGATATTTTATGACATAAACACATTTATGTTGGCTTTATTCTTAATTCACAAGTATTTTAATGTCTCATTTACCATCATTATTAATTACAATTTAAGTCTTTTATAATCCCATAACAAAAATATTTAAAAATCTCTATAAATTAATACTCTTGAGATTAAGAAAATTTATTAATTAATCGAGATATTATTTGATCAATAAATTAATAATTTATTAATTTATATATTAGTTAATAAAAAAATTAATTTATCAGGGTATTCTTTATTTTTTTTTTCAAAACATTGAACTTAATACATGTATTGTGTATTATGATTATACGAATGTTACCTAATTACTGAATTACGAATTATCATTATTCGTGACGAGAAAATTATTAAAAACGTTATAGAAAAAGAAGATGAAGTTGAAAATGATAGTTCTGTATTAGAGCTTGTCTCACATAAAGATGCATTTAAAGCAATAATCACATTACATAATTTTCTCTTGCAATATGAGAACATTACACCAGAACTTCTTAATGCACTAAGAAAAGTTAGAGATGAAGTCTAATGAGACATCAATTTCAAGAAGAAACAAGTAACATTATAATCATATTGAGTCATGCATATATATATATATATATAATTTTGATGTATAAGGAGATTATTAATTTATATATTAAGTTTTTTTTTAAATGTACTATCTTATAAATTTAGTGAAACATTAATTTACCATGTTGATCCCAAGGCAAGACCAGTTGAAAATATTATTTAATTAAAATTATTAATTTTTTGAATATTAAATCGTAAAGGTTTTACTATATATGACAAAGAAACCAAACTAATCTAAAATATAAAACAATAAAAATATCGTAACCAAAGAAATTATCAATTTATCATTAAGTTGATTAAAATATTAGAAGAAAACAAGTAAGTATCAAAAGGAATTCTAAAACAAGGAAGCAAAAGCTTACCATAGGCTTAAAGATCCAAAAGAAAATAAAATTAAAAAAAAAATCTTTCTTTCACCTTGCCAATTGCCACCATTATTTTGCTTGATAGTTTCATCAATATCTTCTACTTGTAATCATGTATCCTTGGTGCTGATACTTGATGTGTGTTTTTTTATTATTGATGGATGGGTCTTTATAGAACCATTTTAGTCGAATTTGTTTTAAATTTTTTTCCCTAAATTTTGATTGAATTTAACTTGTTTTTTCAAAATGATTAGATAGGACTCTTGTTAACATTATCTTGTCTTTATTTTTTTATTTTGTATTATTTTTTTTTGTATAATTTTTTTTCTTTTCTTAAGAGGAAATTTTATTAAGATCAAACCATTCTAGGGAAATAAACCCCTATCATGTCATACATCCTTAATCTCCTAACTTCAACTGAAGGACAATAATGAATTGATTTGAGTTCTTCTAAGGTAAAACCTATGTTCGTGATATGATCAACAACCATATTCCTTTTTCGATAAATGTGCAAAATTTTAACCTCCCATTATCGTTGTAAGAAGGTCTTGATGACTTGGAGTAAATCTGAATTTGCATAAAGACAAGATGATGGCATAGTGATAGCATTAACCACCATCCTATTATCAACTTGAAGCCAGATCCTTTTCAAGCCCAGTTCCCATGCAAGTGTAAGACTGTGATATACCCTTACAGTTTTGCTTGATAGGCAGAACAACTATCAAGCTTCATTGTAAATCCCCTTAACTAATGTCCATCAAAATCCGGTATTGCACATCCGGCTACAACAGTGTGCCCCATCGGAGCTTAATGCAGATCAACCTCTTATTGGTGGGTTCCAACTAATAAGAATCTCTTCATTCTTGGAACTTAAAGAATTGATGCTCTCCGACAAAGAAAAAAACCATGCTATGAATCACATTTAACTTGCTTTCCACATGTTGTATGTTGCCTTCGAAAATATGTGAGTTCCGCCACTTCCATGTATACCAACATATGGTCTCAAAAACAATTGACCAAGGGCTGTCAAAAGCTAATTGCTGCTTGTTGTTTAAGTTCTTCACTTACCATGTTGACCATGGAAGAGTAAAGTAATGATCCCACTCACTTTGTGGGATGACTTTCATCCAAATTATATTTGCAACTGAGCAATCCCTTAGTAAGTGAAGAATTGATTCTTCCTCATAGACACACTAGAAGCAATTTGGATTACTAGTCATTCTTCTGTGTTGTTGTTCCTTATTAGTGAGAATTCATCCATGCAGGTAGTGGAATAGAAACATTTTGATTCTAAGGGGACCATGCCATTTCCAAGCAGTGTTCCACACTCCACTTGTTTGTACAACTTCATTTGTTGACTGTGTTCGCAAATTTCATAGGCTGAAGTTACTATGTAGTCACCTGATGAAGTAAAGGCCTAATATAGTTCATCAGGATTGGGAGTTAATGAAGGAGGTATGGACACCATGATCTTTCTGGTTACATCCTTTGGCACATGCTCCAGTAGCTTATCCTGATTGTATTCTCCATTTAGTGCTAAGAATTAATGAACCTGGACAGCTTTCACTTCATGCTCATTTACTGATTTCCATTAGTTAGCAATGTTGAATCACCAAACCAGATATCTGTCCAAAATCTGATAGTAACCCCATCTCCAAGTGCCATTGTATGTTGACATTAAATATCTGCCAAAGCTCGCTTAGCGATACCCACAATGCCAAAGCACCCTACCGATGAATATTCCTAGGATGCCTATCCACTTCAAAATTATATTCACCTATTAACACCTGTCCCCATAAAGCTTCTGACCTGGTTAACAGTTGTCAAATTATTTTCAGAAGGAAAGCGTCATTCATTAATGTAAGACCTCAAATGCCCATCCCTTTTTCTTGGTGAGGTTTGCATAAATCTAGCCAACAAATAAAATGAACTTTTCTATTATCAACATCACCCCCCAAAGAAAGGTCTTACATAAGCTTTATATTTTCTTGCAAATATCAATTGGTAAAGAGACCATTTGCATAGTATGGTAAGGGATGGTTGTCAAAACGGATTTTACTAGAGTAAATTTACCAGCAAAAGATAAAAAAAAAAACCTTCCCAGAGCTCAATCTACTCCGCACTTTATCTACCAAATAACTGAAGTTATTTATCCCTTTTCTACCGTTAATCAGTGGCACCCCAAGGTATTTTCCCAAATCTTCTGAAT